TGACAAATCAAAGTCAAGTTGGACGTTTTAGTGATTTACACAGCGTAAGGTCGGTCTGCCAGTAGGGGCGACACTGGTTTACACTGTAGATGAACAATTTCGCCAGTGCAGTACGACTGCTAACCTGGGGTCTAACGTGCTCACGCGGTAGTGATACACGACCGCACGCCGGTACGATGCTCATCCAGATCGAAACGGGCAGGGGTGGGGCTCGAACCCAGGATCTCTGGTTCTGCAGCGCGAGCTTTCGCTCCACGCGCGTCGAGCTGGGGGGATCGGTGGCCCAGTGAGCGCGTGCACACCCAGCGCCATTACAATTTGCTGTATGAGGGGGCGGGGAGAGAAGGCCCCAGCAAGATAGAAGATTTCGGGGGGAAGGGGGGGGGGGGCATACGAGCCCCCCCCCCCCCCCCCCCCCTTTCCAAAAGCCAGGGAGGGGAGCTCGGGCAACTCGGGCCCCATGGCCCCACCCCCTGGCTACGTGCCTGACGAGTTTCAGAATAGGGGGCCCCAAAGCGTTGTGCCCCAAACAGCTTGGGGCGTCCCACTGCTCATGCGCAGAACTTCTGCGCATGCCCACTGCGATGCCCCGAGCTGTTTGGGGCACCCAAAGCTTTGGGGCCCCCTATTCTAAAACTCGCTCATTTCGTTGCGTGTGCTCACGCACACCGGCGGCTGCTGGCTCGTGGAAAGATCGTGCGCCACTTATTGTAGACACATCCCTTTAAAGGAGCGATGCAACAATTTCTGTACTTTGCGCAAATACCGTTAAAGGGGTATTCACACGAGGGAGAAATCCCGGGGATTTCTCCACGGCACGCGCATCCTGCGGCGAAAACGTCAGGCTTTGCGATGAGCAAAAGCCTCGCGTTTTCGTCTCGTGATGCGCGCGTGCCGGGGAGAAATCCCGGGGATTTCTCCCCGGCACGCGCATCCCGCGAAGAAAACGTCAGGCTTTGCGACGTGCAAAAGCCTCGCGTTTTCGTCTCGTGATGCGCACGTGTCGGGGAGAAATCCCCGGGATTTCTCCCTCGTGTCCCTGACGCCCTGACGTCAATGACCTATAAAACACGCGTTCCTTTTTCACCCTACGCAGTCGAAGTCGCAGAAAAAATTAAAGAAAAACGACCAACATTCCAATTGAAGATATCCTTATGTCTGAAAATCGCACCCACTGTATTTCTCCAGTGGGCGTACACCCAGTACATCCTCAAAAAAGACAACGGGCCGCCATCACTCTACCGCCATGTTGTTTGTGTTTCGCGGCATAGAGAAGAGCACGATACCACCGCACGGAATGATTTTCCAATCTTTGTTTCTTACCGCATGTCCATAAAAATATAAAATAAAATAAAAAATAATGCTGTTAATTAAACAAGATTTATTAACTTTGCAAATACAAAACAAATTTGTTATGTTTACATTCTAACATGTTTCAATTTCTGCGGATCTGTTGTGTCATGGCGCTCACCAGTCCTGTGCACAAGGTGCAGGAGGTGTCAGATATTTTACTTTTTTGGCTTTTCTGCAAACATTATCAATGGTGACATTCGAATTGGTTCGTTGAAAGATCGATAAGCGCATCAGGAATGGAATAAATGTCATAACTATACTCTAGTAGACGAAACTTCCTTGCTTTTACCCAGCGGCCCATGCAGGCTGAACGTTACATCGAACCTGCGTTGGTGAGTTGAAACTCTTGTGTTGCTTTATACATAATAAAATCATAGTTGTACCGAGCGAAGGGGTGTAATTAATTTTTTTTTCTCTGCTGTTATGAAATTCCTGTGACGTTGCCGGTTGCTGCGTCGTTCTCATGCCGTGTATTTTTGACCGCTCGTATGTGTCGAATCTGGGCTGCTGTTTTCAATTCGCGAAATAGTTCATTTAAAGTGTTATGCTTTTTTGACGAATGCATTATTTTGTAGCTAACACTTGGCAAAGTCAACAATCCCTACAAAAATTTAACTGTATAAATCGAACTCTAATTCCCTCATTTTCCCTAGAGCATTCAAGTGCAGAAGAAAACTATTTAGAATTTACTAAGCTTGGCGAATTCGCAAAACTGTAATTGCGGAACGAAGCTAGAACGTGCTTTTCAGGCAACGAGGTATTTATCGTTTCAGTGTCTGGGGCATGTAATGTTCAGACACTTAACTAGGGCATGCAATGGAAATGAAGCACCTTGTAAGGGCAAATCCCAACACAAAGTTTTTTTTTCTTTTTCTTCGCTAAGCACTTTAGCCGCTTTTTGCTGATAAGGCCTGCAACATTGATTAGTATCAAACTGCAATTGACCTTTTTCAGAGTTTGGCCACGATCGTGGCGCGCCCTCGCGGGAATCGCTCGAAACACTTTTGGTGGCTCCGGGACCGTCTCTCCGTCGTCCGCGCCAGGCCTGGCTTGTCTCCCGGTTCATGTGTTTACGTGTGTTCTCTGGTGGCACTGTTCCGTCCTTCACCAATCCGAACGTGTCTTTCTGTCCTCGCTTCGCGTGCATATTTTCTTCGAAATGGCTGAGAATGACCTGTAGGATTAACAAAACTCAATGTCTAGGATACAGAGGACCTCGTTCGTTTTTATACCTTCAGGGATGGATAGACCACCGACGCCGCATCGGTTCTTACCACCGACTCGGAGTCATTTCATCGTCACTTCGGTGTCGCGTCTTGCAAGCAGCTAAAAAAGGGGTCTGCTTTCAAAGGAGAGTCGCAGGGTGTTATGCAAAGAAAGTAATGGTGGCAAGCTTGGATACCGACCCAACCATTAACCTTGTGCGGAGCTTGTGAGTTCCGTTTATGAGACCCGGCCACTACAAACAGCTGATTTTACTCTCCTTGATCGCTTAATTTATTCAAGCTTATCCCGTCCGTCACTTCCCCGTCCTGTGCACCGCGTGAGGGCACGGGACATTGCCGTATTCGGGAATATGTAAACAAACTCTGATGGTGCGAATTCCGGGCCGTCTTGATGTCGCGAAGGGTTGCCTGCACCGCCAAAAAGTAAGGAACGGTATGTTAGAAACAATCCATCTTTGAAGTTGGCACGTTTACGAACCTTTGACAAAGTGGGTCCAGCAAACAGGGGGGTTCACGGTTGGTTGCCAAGAAATTTCATCAAGTTTCTGTCTCCGTAAGGCTTAAATCAGTTTCGCTCGCTTTAAATGTTTTGTCGCTTTTTTAACGTGGCAAGACGCGAATGTGTATAGCGCACGCCTGAAGAACGGAAACCTTTATGTTGTTATTTTTTTATTTGAGCACCGGGTACGGCATGATTACGTCACACAACCTCGTTTGCATGTTTATTATTAACAAAAAATGGTCAGAGTGCAGGCGAGCTGGTGTAAGGTTAACATGATGGAATACTTGATATATGAATACATGAAAGCTTGATGGAACATCGAGGACAGGGACGAAAAGAGTACTTCTTTCAAGAAGTCCTGTAGCCGTCCCCGTCCTTGATGTTTTATTCTTTCATGTATTCGTATCTATTCACCAACACGCTCATTTTCAACTATTAAACCCGAGACTGAAGTAGGAAAAGGAAAACGCAAAAAAAAATGGGCAACGTCTCAAGAGGCGTTGCCTCTTCTTTTCCTGTGTCCTTTTGCGTTTTCGTTTTCCTACTCCAATTTCAGCTATATCATCATGTTGACATTTACTGTATTTTCGTTAAAAGCAGAAAGTCCCGCCGTCACATTGATGATCCAGCCACCTGGCACGGGGGACCCTCGTCATGGGCTTTTGAAAGCAGGGCAAAAACGGCGGGATGTTAAATATCGGGTGCTTTTGTGCACCACCCGCCAAAGGCTACAATAACCTTATACAATTTGGCATTTTAACAGCGTTTGCTTCTATTTGTGCAACCTTCTGCTGCGCGGTGGTTAGGCATGAGGATCATGAAGCCAAGCCGCAAAAAGACCGCAGGAGTCAAGCATAACCAGCACTGTCTGAGCGACCGAGCGGCAAAAAGCCACCAAAAATGGCGCCTTTCCCTTTCCTCTTCTTTCTCAGAGTCGGCGCATGCGCCCAGCGATCTCTGAAAAAGGTCAATTCACGGGGGAAACACTTTTTTTTTTTTTTTTACATGTGAAGTTACATATTTTTTCTGCTTTGATATAGTGAATGTTTGTTCGAGCTCTTTAGTTGTCTTGCGTGAATAAATGAGGTGAAGCTGGACAGCATTTGACACCTTTACTTAAGTAGACAGTTCTGATGCTTAGAAAAAGTGTCGCACCAGTAATATCAAATACGTTTGTATGGGTCACAATATAAGATTTTAAATGTGCCATTGTGAGTTTCAAAGCAAGAAATTCCTTTCATGAAAAATGCATAGAGTTCGACAATTTTTTCACACATTGTCTTAGCTTAAAACTCAATGAAAGAATGTCTTGCACTTCTTATCTATGTGACGTCGTGCCCAAACCGGCTTTCTTGACAGGCGTGCCATGCATTGAGATGGGTGGTACATGTAATTACAGGTTGCTACCTTTTGTTTCCAGAGCGTGGTTTAGACATTCTTGTTGTGCTCACTGGGATGCATGTTCTCGTGCTCTTCTGCGACACGCCGGTCATCCCAGCATCTGACACGAGGTGCCGTTTCGGTGGTTGCCTGATGAAAGTCTGCTACTGACATTTAAAGGTACTATTATAGTGAGGGTGTACAACATCATAAGAGGTTTGTTTGATTTGCCTGAAGTGGCTGAACTAGTTCAGCAGTGCAGGAACTGGCGCATTCGATTCACACTGAAGTTGCACAGCCGCTGCACTGGCACATTCGATTCATCCCAGTTCTAAACGAGTTCAGACCCAGTTCCTCAAAAGCTTGCATTAGCTCCAGAGTCACTTCAACGTCTTTGCAGAAGCAAACAACAAGAGCAGATGACACTCCTCGCCCATCTCTGCTTGTGGTGCCATTTCTCGCAGCTCTTGCTCAAATGTCTGCAATGTTTAACAATAACGCCCAGTGAGAGGTTACATTTCCTTTCACTTATGAAAATAATGCACCCATGGTGGACACAGAATCAAGATTCTAACCTAGGGTAGGAATGTGCTCAATTATGATATTCTGAAAGCATTTTCTGCACCTGCTTGCACAGGTTTGGCTCCCTGTGGTAAGCGTTGAAACATGGACTCGTGTAAATTGTTTCTTTTTGATGCTATGTGGTGCTATGTTCATATTCTTCTTAAAAGACACAGGAAAAGTATCACACTCTTGATAGCCCCCACCTTGAGTAGCTCTTGGATGCAGACTGACGATCCCGATACATTGCAGAGGTCTGGGATTTAATACAAGGGCACTTGCATGCCCCATAGCTGAGCATAATACCGCATGATTTGTCCGCTGGTATTTGTGGACGCCCACTAGTGGGCCTGGGAAAAAAACGCAGAGAATCGGCATTGGCATGCTAGTTCCACGCCAATCTTTCTTGAGAATCAGAATAAATGCTTCAACTTGACACCAAAGTGACGGTTGATAACTGTTTTGGCCAAAACGCTCTCGTCAGGCCTTAGTCTTCGAAGTGACCGCTCCTGACTGCGCACGGCCGCCAGTAACTCCAGACGTGAAATCATCCTGATGCTGCGCATCTATCATCTAAATGCAAAATTCTAGAGACTTGGCCTGAACTTACTATTGTTAAATAAATGTGAAGGAATCTGGACAAACACATTTCATACATTAAACTTTTTAGTAGACTATAGTAAGGAAACATCCACAGAAAAAACTTCGTTTTTATACATTAAAACTAAGGAAATGCGAATGGTCTCATCAAACTGCGAATAATTACATGTAGCATACAACATGGTGCGGTGAAACAAGAGCTAACAGATGCAGACGAAACCCTGTGCTTTCGCTCCGAAAGCCGATCACAGCGCCAGTCCTAACGCGGCGGCTGTACTGGTTCTGCGCCCTCATGGCAAAACAATGTTCATTTTGGCCAGAGGCGTTTTGTCAGGCATGATACGCAGTCTTTACCGTTCTATAACTAAGTGGTTCAAGGAGGGCGACATGTTTTTTCTAGCAGCATAATGATAAATAAAGAGTTTGAGCAAAGGGTAGTGCTTAAAATGGCACAAAAAGAGGAGCACAAGCATTATTAACATTCGTATTCACCACGAATTATACCCTCCTCATGTGGCACCATTCGGGAACAAATGTATTTCTATAAGTATCTGCATTCAGGAATACTTTTTTTGCCGTTTTGCAGAAGTATCTCAGGGATATCCCGTTACATAAAAGGCAAATTTATCTCAGTACCTGTATTTTGGGTCTCAAAACGGAAGTATTGCAGTATTTGTATTCCCAAATAATTTTTGTAGTATCTCTGCCCAGCCCTGTCACATGCACACCTACATAATAGCTGCAGTTAATTTTTACGATTTTGCTGCAAGGTTTTATTGTCAGATCAACATGTACCATATCCCAGATGTTTAATTTCTTAATACCCTGCTCATTAGGTAAGTCTTCTCCTAGTACTAAAGTGTGTTGCAGGGAAGCAAACCTGACAAAACTGCTGTTTACAGTACGAGTGTTTTCTCCAGAGTGCACCAAAGCCTATCGAGAAGTGCACTCACTAAAGCTAGTGTGGCCACCTCAACAAACTTAAAGTAATGAGGACTATTAGGGAACTTAAGTGTACTGTCCCTGTCCGATACGAAGGTAAAATCAAATAGTGTGTTAGTCCAATCAAGTCTGTATTTTTGAGAACAGGCACCATCCTACCATAATGATCCAGCAAGGTACTAAGCTCAGAGTAATTCTCAAATAGCGAGCAAAAGTCGAGCTTTTCGTGCACTGTTGGCACAAATTCATCAGAGTATTTTGGTTAATTTTAACGGCATATAGCAGGTTGAGGCCTTTGGTGCAGCAGTCGCATCAGTGAGCCTTCCAAGAAGTATGAAGTTTAATATGCTAACTGTTTCAATTGTCAGTCTCTTTGACACATCTGCTTTGCTTCAATGTAACCTGTTCTGCAGCATTATCTTGAACGAATGTTGCCGCCGGTGTTTTTGCAACAAGAATAGCATGAATGAAATGGATGCAAAAAGTTTATTTCAACAAAATAAGACCTACCACAAGCACAAAATAAGAAATGAACTAAATGCAAATGAAAAAGAAAAAGGAACATTAACAAAAAGAAAAAAGAAGCTTCTTGATCCATGGGCATGAGTGCCTATCTTGTAGAAGGAAGTTGTTTTCACAACTTCCTAACAGAAGACATTTCTCTATCCACCACCTGAGAGCATGCACTCTCTAGCAGTCTGGCTGCTCCAAAAGACCTAAATTAAAGAAAAGAAAGACATTAAAAGCAGCATACACCAAAGCATAAAAATTAAAATTACTAAGCTGTTTTTGTCTTGCCCCCCATAGGAATAAGCAGCTGTACATAGTACTTTTCTTATGCTAAATATAAGTGAAAAAAGAGGGTATTTGAAATGGAAAGGGCACACTGTTGCAGACGAAAAGGTGTGACCTGATAACCAGTTGCAAATTATTTCATTAAACTTGTGTCCCAACATTTACCGCGGTGTTGCGAGGAATCAGCTGACGCTGACAAGGTTTGACCAGAGGAAAATTGGCGACTCCCTCGCCGGAGGGAGGAGGCAGTGGATGATGCTTTTAGTTTTTGTTAATGTTTTAGGCTAGGTGGTGGAAGCTGCCGCCCGTTATAAAGGGTATGGCTGTTATTATCCATCTATTAGTCTCGAGAGCAAGTTTTTTTTTTTTACAACAATTGTTATTGAAATTGTTGGCCATGGTGAGTGTTTGAACAGAATTGTAATAATAATTTGCAACTAATTACAGGGTCACATGCCTTTTTAAATATATCAGTCAGTTTTTTTTCATATCCAACTCTAATAATGAAAAGTAAGAAATATGCAGGTGGAAACATAACCAAGGTAAAGAATAACAAGAATAAACATAACAAGGGTAAATCATACCTGCCAAGCTACCCATATTACCCGGGAGACTCCCGAATTTTGACAAATTTGTACGATTGCCAGAAAAATCTCCCAAGAAACTCAAATCCCCCCCCCCCCTTCCCTCCTTGCATTTAAATAAGTAGTTTTTGCCGTCGTAACGAACGGCTGCTACGATAGCGAGGCGCAGCAGTCCTTTGCTAGCATGAGCAGTGCAATATAAAGTTGTCTTCATTTACATTCGTTATCAATATCTCTTTTTAAAAAACCTTTACCCCCCCCCCCTCCCCCCACCGCTTAGAAATTCTCCCGGATTTGGTTTTTCCGAACTTGGCGGGTATGGTAAATAAAGTTCAAGGCCTTGAAAGTCATTTAGGATAACCTCTGCCTATTCTTCTGCATCCCAGTGACAATACATTCTCGACTGCATGAAAACTGTATGCAACAATTATGTTTTCTGGCTAGACAGTCCTCGTGAAAGAGGGATGAACAACCTGCACATTGAATAATGCCAACAGCACCGGCACAAAGCAGAGGCTACCTGCACAAGCAATGAACAGCATAAGCAAAGTCTTTTGGTCGCACTTGAGAAACAATAAAATTTATTCTAGGAAAGTCTCGTCCTTCCCTTTACAATGCAGTTTAGTAAATGGGTCCTCATTGACTGTTGTCAGAAGCTTACAGAGGTAAGGTCTTTGCCGGATGCTATGTATTGCATGTTAGCTATTGTGAATAAGCCACAATCCAGAGTGCCGCCCTGAATTTGTGAGCCGCCTCAGTGCCTCCGAGGCGAGACCGCTGGCCTGCGGATCCCCATGTGGCGGATTCGAATCCCGGCCGAGGTGCCCGCAATCTGACGGAGGCTTATTGCGGAGGAGGCGCCGTGTAACCGAGCTTTCGGTTGCACGTCAAAAGATCCCCAGGTGGTCCAAATTAATCCTCAGTCCTCTGCTGGGGCGTGCCAGATGCCCGTCGTTGGTATGGCACTTAAAACACCCAAATTTAGCTTTGACTTGGCCTCGACTTTGTGCAGCTTTTATAAAAAAACATTTATAGTGGCCAATTGTAACTTCAGAATGCTGCACAGTTGCTTGACAAAATCAGGAGGAACATCATCAATATAACCATACGCAAAGACAGAGTTTGGAGGTGACCCAATGTTTGATACTGAGAGCCAATGCAGTGACGTGATCGCTCAGTCGTTTTGGAGCAGCTCTTGGAGCAGCCAAAAGAACTTTTGGAGCACAAGTGCACATTCCATTTTCATTCATAGCACTGCAAATATTATATTAAGATTCATGTGTTGACCTGTCCAACTAGGCAGAGTCTACTTTGCCTTCTCACTTATGTGCAACCTTTTGTTATCATCGATTGCACAGCAGGATTGATTTTCTCAAGCACAAAACTAGCAGTTTACCTGCATGCAGATGCACCAGACACAGTGACAAGAAGATGACAGATGAAGGACAGCATGAATTGTGGTGAATTGTAAATTTAGGTATGGAATCCCAGTGAAATAATGCTAGAATACAATAATTTTGAGTGCCTAAATTTGTTTCCTTCCAGTTCTAGAGGTTGTAATGAAACTGCAGTTCTTAATACAGAAAAAAAAAAAACACTTGTCATTTGATTATGAAACATCAATTATATATTATACGTAGAACTTCATAAAAAAAAAAAAAAAAAAATGACTGCATCTCCACATGGTGAATGATGTTGATTGGGGCGAAGCTCTCGGTGGTGCTGATGATACTGATTTTGTTCATAGGTAGTGCTGGGCTTTGGGTTGCGTTGGTATGGAACGTGGTTATATACGCATTTGAGCATTTGACAGCAGTGCCCTCTCCTGTATAGACGTTGAGCGGCTACATGCAACGTTTCATCCATGACATCCCCAGCTCTTGAGTTACTACCACATCTCGGAGCTCCCTACTCGTCCCGCAGTCGTGGCTGAGTGGTTAAGGCGATGGACTAGACATCCATTGGGGTCTCCCCGCACAGGTTTGAATCCTGTCGACTGCGTAAACATTTTTTATTTTTTTCTAAGAAGACATGGGATGGCAATCGATGTGAGCACAGACGCCGGACAAGGCTAGACCCTAAGGAGTTTTGCCCCTAAAATTGGCCTGTAAATGATAAATATGCCTTCTTATAAACAACTCCGCCGAACTCGTTAAGGTTCTTCTCAAGCTTGCATTCTCTACTTCTGGTAATTTAGCTGCTAATTCACTCACACCTAGATAAGAGTGACAACTAAACAAAAAGGTTGGCATAAAACATTAACTTAAAGAAGAGTCCACATAAATATATTTGCAATATTGAAGTATCCTTGCTAAATCTAGAATTGGAACAAGATACCTCCAGGATACTGCAGTCAGTCTATCATACGTACAAGCCAAATTTTATTCAAAAATCGTCCAGTCTCGCTTTGGAGGCATGCTTTCCCCTTAGCACACAGGTGCGCTGCAGCGAAGCAAGACAAAATCGCGATGCCTACTCCGCGGTTGTCGCTTCACTGCAGTACACCAGTGAGCGGTGAGAAGCGCACTCCACGAAACTAACCCGCCAGAACAGAACGCGAAAATTATTGCGGAACTTCCGAGTGTTAGAAATAATCTCAAATAAAATATATTCTAGAAAATAAAAGAGGTCTTGACAACTAAGCTTTTGGGCAATTAAAAAAACACTGGGTTTAATATAGTCGGAAGTACAAATTTAGGCCACAGTTCCCAAATTTACAAATTTGGGAACTATGGTGGTTGCATACCACCATCGTACAATGCTCTTGCTCAGAGTCTTGCAGGTAGACTGCTGTATATTCTTCTCTCGCGGTGCTTGGTCTCGCCTGGCTGGCAGATGCCGCATCCGGTCCGACGCCAGCCAGTTGCATCTTCATAGCGCTGGAATCCACGTTTGAGACCCCTGATGCCAAGGAGTCGGTGTTAACACATGCCTTTAAAGGAGCTGTGCAACAATTTCAGGGCTTTGCTTAAATAATTGTGGAAGTTGATGCCTGACACTTCTGCAGTGAACTGCAGAAAACAGATTTTGCCTGGATACCCTAGTTTTTACTTAAAAAAATGAAAAAGATCCAGGTTTTTGCCGCCTCTCAACTCATGCATCGTCTTCCGGGTCACGTGCACAGTGACGTCACTAGAGTAGGCGCGGAGTTCCGGAAAAGTTCTCTCTTTAGAGCCATCAGCGAGCAGCGAGAACTCATCCGCTGCCGACCGCGTGACCACCCGTCCTTGCCAGTGTGGCGCTGTCCCCCTCCCCCTCCGGCTTCTGGCGGCTGCTCGCGGTTTTGTGGACCTAGGATAGATGGCGCCACTAAAACTCCGTATAATAAAAGTTTTGTCGATGATACCAGGGTGTTGACGCATTTATATATATGTTGGAACGACAAGATTTGTAAAAAGAGTTACCTTTTATCGAGCAGGTATTCGCACAACTTGCTATCTTTCTTACAACGACCCAAGTGACGTCACGCCGCTTGTTTCTCATGGCCGCCGCTCGTGGCTGCAGGTCGGGAAATATTCCAAGTTTTGCCTCGCTATTACGCGGCGGAATCGCAACATTGCGATGAAAAGAGGTGTGTTTTCTGCCATTTGTGACACAGTGAACAATATTAAAAGCAGAAAATGCCAATTCCTTCAACGTTAAAATCGTTGCACAGCTCCTTTAAGAACACAACATTCGTGCCCTCTGAGCTTCGTAAACGACTTCAGGGATGCGCCCGGCAAAATAGAAAAAGGGCAAAACACAATGGCACTCGCTTACACGAGTAATGTCTGTGTTTGATGCGAAATCAGACCGAGTTAGTATGTTATATGACGTAATATTCTAAAGATCTGCAAACTCGCACAATCCTATCGTTCCGGCCAAATTGCGAGTTGTTAAAATTAAGTTTTGGTGCAATGTTAGCCCGAGTTCCTCAGATTTTGGTCAAATGTAGCAAGATGTAGCACTTTGGCAGAAGTATCACATCACTGCCAATGGTGTGGAACTTTTGTATGCAATAGCTGAATGAAAGCATCTCTCACCTGTTTGAATTTTAGTCCCTCAGCTAACAGAACAGCTTGAAAACCACCCCAATGTGGAAATGTTTTACGTGTTAAGTACCACACAATATTCATAACACTAACAGACAAACTGTTGGATCTTACACATGCCAGTTCTTTTTCAGTAAGTGAATAACTTTGAATAACTTTTGTAGAAAGGAATTAACTCTGCCCCTATCATACTAAGGTGAAGTGCCTTGTTGTGGAACATTTTAGAAAGAGCATGCTTTCTTATAACTGTCACATTTCGTGGCCTGCCTCCTGCGTTTGATCAGACTAATGCACAGTTTTTCGGAAAAAGTTGCCCCACTGATTGTTGTCTATTAGCTGCTGCTGAGATACATCCTCTCGAGCTGCACAGGGTGCAACAGACTATGGCAAGAGCTGCACCTGGTTGCTAGGGAAGGTTGTAAGACTGCTAAGGAACGCCTGAATATAGATCAATTTTTCATTTAGCTCTCATTCACCGCATTGGGCCAAGGAGTTAGCTGTTGGTTTGACTAGATGAACTCAACCATGGAGTACTTAAATTTATCAGATTGAACTACTAAACATGTCTTATGCAACCTTTTTTTGGTCCAGTCTTCACATGCTGCTAGATAGGTTGGATAGTTGCTAAACTTGGCCTGCAGGAAAATGGTTCTGCAGCAGGGCTGTGGCGGAATGCTTGCCTCCAGTGGCCCTGCTCTTTGTCGCACATGCTGGGCTGTCCTCCCCCAAGCCAGAAAATGGATTATCAGACACATACAAAGAACAGAGGTACCCTATGCAAGGTCTCCTCCATTCCCAAGCAATGGTGGGGGATGCAATAGTGGCAGTATGGTTTAGTGCCTTACACAGCCTGCGAGACCCTCGCTTCGCGCTCAATGTACTTCACCCACGCTGCTTCCCTCCTCCCACCGTGCTTTGGAAAGGGCACACTACCTTGGTTTCAGTCACTTCAAAGGCCACCCACTTACCAGCCTCTACAGAAGCTGTGCTCCCCGAGGAAGCGACTTTTAGGCAGTTCTCCGCACTAGCTTTCCCACCCGAAGCATTGCCAGTGGCACCGGCTGCTTGCTCTTATGCCTTTACAGGAGCTGTGCTCCCCAAATAAGAGGCTTTTGGGCACTCCCCTACACTAGCTTCATGCTCACCGTTCTCTGCAAAAACTGCGACTTCCAAGAAAGTGGTTTTAGGCATTCTGCACTAGCTTTTCTACCCGAAGCATCGGCAGTGACTTCTGGGCACTCCTCTGCACTAGCTTCACACTCACCGTTCCCTCCAAAAGCTGTGCTTCCAAAGGAAGTGGTTTTCGGGCACTCCTCTGCACTATACTCTGTTTCACCTTCAGTCCGAGCGCAGTGGACGCTATAGGAGCCATCCCAGCCAATCCAGCGTTGAGAGGGTGGCATGTGACCTTGAGCTCCAGGTGTTGCTCTGCCCAACAGGCAGGTCACGCGATTTTTTCCTGGCGCTGGATCGGCTGGAATGGCTCGTGGCGTCCACTGCGCTCGGAACGAAGGTGGAACGGAGTATAGCTTTACCACTCAAAAAAGCTGTGCTCCTTGAAGATGTGGCTTTCAGTCACTCTTCTGCACTAGCAAGAGGCATGCTCTCCCAGGTTTGCCCTACGTGACTATCCTTGCTGTGGACTCAAGCACCACCAACCAGCCTGAACCCAGCACCATGGCTCTACTTCACTGGCACATCAGAAAGCTCGCCTCCTCTGTGCCTCCGCTCAGCCTTTCCATATGTGACAACTGGTTGGCTTCTGTCCAAAACGAGCTCGGAGGCCATGCAGGCACCTGGTACAGGAGAGCCGGCAGATTTTGACATCTCTGCCCTGCTCTGACATCTCTGCACCTGATCAGCAGCTGCTTCACAAGGTGCACAGGTACTCTCAGGGGAGGAAGCAGCAGAAGCAAGTGGCAGAGGTGGTGCAGAAGCAGCAGGAGAGCAAAGTGGAGGAAACTCAACCTCACAGAGCATGGCTGGTGGAACACTTTTGATGGTCCAGCCAGCGCTTGAGGAAGCCCTCATTGTTGTCCCCTAGTACTCCTGCTGAATCCTGCCCTTCTGCTGAATCCTGGCCCTGGCCACCTTCTGCACAATGTTCTGCACCTGCTGGTCCATGAACTTGGCAAGAGCCTGCCCAGATAGTTGAGAGTGCCCAACTATTAACCTCTACACTAGAGTACCAAACCTGACTGTCAGCCTAACTTAATCGTCTAAGTTAGTGTCCATTTAAAATTTTAAGCAGTGTTTCATAAAGTAAAGCATATCTAAAAACTACTTGAAGTAAAGTTAGAGTATTTATTTGCATCAAGTTGAGTAGTAAGTATACAGGGCATGATGCAATGGAAGTAAAGTACAATAAATGCAGTCTTTTTTTTTTAATAAAGTAAACTGATGGTCCTCTTCATTCCCACTCCCGAGTCTTTCAAATCATGGTATGCATAGGTGCTCAAGTGTGTAATATGGGAATTATTTGCGGTACTAGCGGCAAATATCAGACATGGCCAGGAGGCCACCCAGTACTTTTTTTCTCTCCGATGAGCTATACATGGCCTGCATTTTCGTTACATCAGCAGTCACTAATCCGTACCATGCTCCTACATTCTGCAGCATAAATTTCACACCTTCAAACTTGTACCTCTTGGCCAGAACAAGTAGGAATGACATTGCGTGCACTTATAACTGCCAGTCCTCTGAGAGGAATGGCCAGAAGAGGTTTCGAAAGAAATCAACACTTTTTTATGATAACAGCCTACCACTTTGTTGTTAGGTTGGTGCAAAATTATACTCTACCTCAGAAGTTGTAGGTACTATTTGGAAAGCCAAGGACATCGGCACTTGGGTTTTGAAAGAGCCTAGATTTTCCTGAGCCCTCACGGAACAAACCAGTGCTCAGATCAATGCATTTGTCCCTGTGTGTTTCCCAGAGCTGTACGAATCATCCGAGACGAAGTATGCAAAAGAGTTCAAAGGAAGCATTTTACAGCTCCAGTAACAATATGACATGCAGATGCACACATCCTATGCGCAGTTAATACCAGCGGAACCAATGATATCGAAATCAGAGTTGAAAAATGGTTCTCTAAAACTCGATTGTCTTCTAAGAACGATGAAAAAAACATTGTTCTCAAAGACAATATGAAGCTTTGCATCGTCTGCTTATGCACCTCGCTAGGTAAGAATATACCTCGCAGTATTTCTCCAGAGTTAACCTAGCACCGTTTAGCGATGCAAATTTAGTAAGACCAGGTTTGGAGAATGTACTTGAGGTAGGGAGTTGTAGTTTCCTTGCAAAGTACTAAAAACAAATACTTCAAGTTCTTGTGAACACCGAGTATAAGGGTGATTGTAATTTTCATACACCCTCAAAAGTAAAATTTTTGAAAAAATTTTTTTTTAGGTTTTTGTGCTAAACGCAATGGAGGGCACAGGAATATTTAGACCACCGGGGGGATTTTTTGTTGTGCAACTGAAAGCTCACATTACCACGGTGCCTTTTCTGCAATAAGCCTCCTTCACACTGTAAACACCTCAGTCAACATTTTTTAAGTACATTGCAAGTGAATATGCACAGACGCCTACTAGTACGGCTACTACTGTAGCCATCCTTGCGATCAATGTCTCTATATTTGTGCTCGTCGGCACAGACGCCATACCTTGTTGCCGATCTGGCTTGGGTGGATGCCGTTGCAATAGTGGGCGCTACTAGGGTGATGGTGTTTTTCTTGTTGCTCGCCAGAGAACACCATCATTTATAAAGTGCTTATATAAGAACCGGTGCAGCGCATCGAAATAAAAGGGCTTTTTCTTCTTTTTAGGTGTGGTCACGAGTTGGGCTGCTGTTACTTAGCCGTCGTCCGTTCCGAACATGGTGTCAGAAGCTGGCTAACACCGTCACTATGGCGGAAGGTGACCTCCGTATCCAAGTGGTTTGCGTCGGAGCGTAGGGACTTCATCCTTTAGCACCATTCACTTTCACCAGCCCGGCGGAATGGCCCACTTGGATTGCAACGAGGACAGTCAGGTGTGGATCAGAGTTCTTTGCAAACAAGTCTTTCACGGTATGCACCATGTGCTCTACTTCACCGTTACTCTGGGGGTATCATGGGCTGCTGTCTCTTCGTCATCGTCCATTCCGAATGTTCCAGCTAAAAGGATGTGACTATGTTCCGATTGTAGACTACTATACTCTGTTTCACCTTGTGTTGTACCGTAGGAAAGGCTACAAGCGCGAGCTCCTTGCTCTAGGGCACATCTCGGCGGCACAAGCTCTCGTGCATCAAGGGCAGCTGCCAACGCTAATAGCTCGCGCTTCTAGCCTTCGCTGCGGTACAGCATAAGGTGAAACAGAGTATACTCAAGGTTTCCTGAGGTCATCTCTCTCGGATCTACATCTGCGCAAGCAGCCATCTCGGCTGTCAAGAGTTGCATGGCTTGCTATGGAATCCCGAACGTCGTGCGGACAGGTACTGGACCGCAGTTTGCATCTCACAAGTTTGCAGACTTTGCTCAGGTGCAGATTTCGCCACGAGACTAGGAGCCAGCGATACGCCTAGAGTAACGGCGAAGTAGAACGCATGGTGCGTATCGTGAAGAACTTGTTTGCAAAGAGCACCGATCAATACCTGGCTCTCCTATTGTACCGAGACATACCCGGTGTCAATGATGTTTCTCCTGCCCAGTTGTTAATGGGAAGAAAACTAACTTGACTTCCTGGTCTACCAGAACGACTTCAGCCATCACTGCCAAGCCATCAGAACTTCAAGACAAGAGATGCCGCAAACACGTCACAACAGGCAAACAACCACAATCGCCCCAAGTCCTCTGACCCGCTTGAAGTTGGGGGAGGACGTGCGAGTTAAGGACGTCAATTGCCGAGGCAGTATCCTCGGCCCCGCTCAGTGACCACAGTCATATGTGGTGGAAACGCCCAGGGAAACTCTGCAGTGAAACCGTCGGCATCTAATCCCCTTCTCAAAAGGCCTGTCAACAGAGGAACTGCCAGCCAGTGAACAAAATCCAGGACCAGGTTTACAGCAGTCTACGCCTGGTGAGGGTCAACCAGCATCATCGCCAGAGCTTCAGCAAGAAGGGCTTCGGCTGAGACGCACACTTTGCGGTCGTGTGATTGGACCGCCAAGGCGACTGACTTGTAGATCTTAAGGGGAGATGTAGTGGGCACTACTAAGGTGATGGTGTTTATCTTATTGCTCGCCAGAGGACACCATCATTTATAGAGCGCTTATATAAGGAGCGGCGCGTGGAAATAAAAAGGGCTTTCTTTTTTTTGGTTGTGGTCACGAGCTGGGCTGCTGTCACTTGGCTGTCGTCCGTTCCGAGCAGTAGCGACCGATCCACTGCTGCTACTCGTTGGCCAAGCCGCTGCGGAACTCGAACCCCTCTTTGCGACAAAACTCGCGCTGCAGGGAGCTTACCTCCCGGTAGTAGTCATTCATAACCTGCATCTCGGCAGCGTGACTACGCTGTCATTCCAATGGCCAGAATTGTTGTTGCACACGCTAGCACTAACGCTGGTGATGTTAGTGCCGACGTGCACGATGGCAACGTCAAAATCGGCAAGCCTGTCAGACCGTGAAAACAAGTTCTCAATCCTAATCCCACTAGATGCGGCGACCTCAATAGCCCTCCGGTCAATCGACGAGAAGTACTGGTTCGAGTAAGAATCACCGGCTACCAAGACACGAGGCACGTTGGAAGTGCGACCACGCTCGTTTACAACCCGATACAACATCGAAATTAACGCGTTCAAAGCGCAAAATACAGACAATGGCAGTAAATACTAATGAATATGGTTAAACAAATAAGTAATCAGGCAAATGACAAAGGGAACGCTTCAAATGAGTGCAAAAAGCTTGCGTGAAACCAACCCAGAACTTGACCAGTCGCAGACTCGGGAAGGGCAGTGACAGCGGTGACAGTCACACGAGGCTGCGACACCAGAAGTGATGTCACCGATGTCACCCTCAACTACCGGTGTCGAAGGAGCCATGCCCAGACAGGGCAAGCTACTTTGACACCGGAAGTAGTAAAACGTCACTTCCGGTGTCGAAGGAGCCTGCCCTGTGTGGACATGGCTCGAGCGACGGCCGTCGGAGCAGACACTCCCTTCTATCTAGGCAAATTCTTAGTGTCATTGAAGGCCGGTGTAGGACGCCGATCTCACTACCCCTCTGCTTCGACTACGGTAGTGGTTATGGCGTACGCCAAAATCAATACCGTAGTCATTTCGGCGTACGCCATAGTCAATACCGTAGTCTTTTTCGCATACCCCAAAAACACTACCCTTATGCCAAATTCAATACCTTGAATAACGTCGGTTCAGCAGGGGTTGAGCCAGTTGAGCTCCGCCTTTCGCTAAAACTGGCGGAAGTAACTTTCTGCAGCAAAATACCCTGATTGTTTGTTGTTTGTATGAGCAGCGGAACGCGCGCGGCAGGCGTTGTTAATTTTGATTAGCGTTGATACGGCTGACGGCACAAGCAAGGAAGCTTGGAGTGATTCTGTGTGAATGTGATTTGACATCGCTTCTTTCTGTTTCTTCGATCGTGGTGCAAATGCAGGTGCCCGACTCCCGAACGATTCGAAGGCAAGAGTGGTAGCCCACCTGTCCGCTGGTCTCAATCGCATGCACTGTCGTCATTTTGGGCACATCGGAAGAAAATAAGACGCTCACTATTTTAAATAGCGTGCGATCGGCCTGTCTAGGTTCTGGCGACACTGTTTCAGGCTGTATATGAGAAAATTTAGCCACTACAGTACGACTGCTAGCCTGGGGTATGTGCCTCACAACAGATCGAAACGCGGTGGGGGTGGGGATCCCTGGCAGCGGGACCTTTCGCTGTACGAGCTGCGGTGCGCTAACACACTCGACCTCCGATACCCCCTTGGGTCACAGCGCTTGCTGAAAGAAGTTTGGATCGTTTTACGCAGATTTTGCAGTGCGTACGAGACGCACAACTGCTACGTACTACGTCCTAGATGCCCAAACTGAGGCTCGCTACTTGTGCGCGGCTCTCGTGATCTGGAGAACAGTATGCTCGCCATGAAAATGTTGCAGTGAGAAGTACGGAAAAGTAATATTATAACAGTAGAGTATTTAAAACTGGCTTGCATTGTCACTGAACATATGAAAACAAAACTGATTAGGAATGCCAATCAGGCAATCAGATCGGGTAGGAATGTGATATAATGTGCTCAAGTTATGTGTGAAGTTGAGTCGGCACAGGAATTCAAACTTGTTGGCCCCACCCCCGCTCCTAAATTCTTCCAATGTTGCTGGCAGTTTTTTTTTTTTTTATTATTATTATTATTATTGTAACTTCAAAGGTCCCAACAGGGGCATTACATAAGGAGCGGGGGGGGGGGGGGGGGGGAAGTACATAAAAAATACAAAAGATCAACATATGAACAGACAGGTGGCTGGCACCTACAGTGCTGGTGAGTAATATAAACAGTGAGAACAAGTGTGTGTGAAATAAAACTGGTACATAAATACACTAGCTAAAAGAGTAATCGATCGAAGCATTGTGGAACAAGACGGGGTCACCTATTGCCGGGCAGAACCAGGGTAATCACCGACTCGCACCAAGCATACCAGAGCTTCCAGTCGGGCTTGGTGTCCTGAAAAGCGCTGCAGGTGCTCAAAAACAAAGGAGCCCATAGAATTTGAATGGGTACCTGCCCACTCCGTGGTAGAGGGCAACAAACTTGCTCACCAGCAGTCCTGCGCGCTGACTTACCGGGCCACAGCCATGGAAGAGGTACAGGACCAACCCATGGTGACCTAAAAGGAAATACTAGTCGCACTCTACTGCAAGGATAGGCGAAGACTGCCAGCCCCGCATCCTAAGCTAACGCTGGAGGAACAGGTAGCGTATAGGCAAATTCAGTCGGGGTCCTTCCCCCACCCCCTTTTACTCAGTTGCATATGTTCCCCACTCAATACAGTGGGAACTGCCCAGTGTGCCACGAGATAGGAACCCTCCGTCACAAAATAGGCGAGTGTAGATTCAATCAAGACCACCCACTACCCCCACCCTTCCCCCTGTAGAGCGATGGGAGAACTTGCTGTCCAGTCCCGCCCTGGAGAATCAGCTTCAATTGGTCAATAGGGGCCAGGCAGACAAGGCAGCATATAGGATCTCGTGAAGAGGGAAGCCCTTCCATCCGGCAGAGACCATCGTGCTGAAATGCTCAGAATAAAAGTTTATTCTCTCTCCCTCTCTGATTGTTTGAAGTAGTTTGTGATCCGAGATTTGTGACGTGGGGTGGTTTAGTTGTGCCGATGCTCTTCTAGGAGGAAGTAGCAGTGAGTTATGAAGCATTGGATTATAATAGAAAATTTTATGAAACGGGGTTAAGCATGATATCTTATGGCATGACTTATACAGCTGGAGTTTCAGTGCAGAGACACTAGTTCTTCGGTAATGATCATTAAGAATCAACCTGGCCGTGCGATTTTGAACTGACTCAAGATGGTTAATGGGATAAATTTGATGAGCATTCCGAATTGATACAACTTTGGTCCAACGTAAGTCTCGTATGCCATTATCTGGAGATGAGATGGTGGCACCTTCAGATTTCTTTTGATGTACCCGAGAGTGTGCGAAGCCTCTGCTGAGTCTGTTTCAATGTGGTTATTCCAGGTTAAGTCAATAGGCAGTGTTGCACCAAAATATTTATAGATGGAGGCAGGCAGAGATGATTAGTCCAGAGCCAATGGAATACGAAAAACATGATGTTACATGTTTCCAAGTAAAGCGAAGTACTTTACATTTTGACATGTTTAATGACATAAGTCATTTGAAATACCAGGCATGAATCAGGTCAAGATCACTCGGAAGATTTAAACGGTCATCAGACAGTAATTTTGCGATATAGGACACAATCGTAAGCAAAGAGACAAAGCCTACAATTGATAAGTCGTTAATAAAAATAAGAAACAGTAGTGGACCTAGTAATGCCCCCTGTGGAACTCCAGATATAACGTTAGTAAAGTCTGGCATATGGTTGTTAGCCAGAGTGCGAGAAAAGAGAAAGTCATGAATCCAAGAAAGGACCAAAGGGTCGATACCCAGGATAGAAAGTTTTGAAATTAGATGACGATGGGGAACTCTGTCGAATGCCTTCGAGAAGTCGAGGAATACAGCATCGGTTTGGCCCTGCGAGTCAAGGTTAGTGATTAACTTGTGTTTGAGTTCAAAAAGTTGTGTCTCGCATGAAAAACCCCTACGAAATTCATGAATTGATGATTGTAAAAAATATGATTGGCTTCTTAATATGATATGGGATGATAGTTTGAGGCCAGTACACGATCACCGCTTTTAAAGACTGGAATGGCCTTCCCCAGCTTCCAGTCCAATGGTATACGCCGTTCCACCTTCAGTCCGAGCACACTGGACGCCACGAGCTATCCCAGCCGATCCAGTGTCGGGAGAAAATCGTGTGACCTTTTGGTTGGCCAGAGCGACGCAGGGAGCTCAAGGTCACATGACACTCTCTCAACGCTGGATTGGCTGGGATAGCTCCTAGCGTCCGCTGCGCTCGGACTGAAGGTGAAACGGAGTATAGGCAATACTGCTGTAATGACTAAGAAAATATGAATGTGAGGAATTCACTAGATATTACTTTGGTGTTGCTAAGAATCTTGGGGCTAATATTGTCTGGACGACAAGATGATAAGAGTTTTAAACCTATAAGTCAAAGTATTCTGGAAGCAGAAATGTTAGTGTCATTCGGGGCCATGGGCTCAAAACCCTCAAAACCAGAGCAAGGCAAACTATATGTATATGATTGACGCTTTCGTTTGATAGTATGAAAGAGAAATATTTGTTTAAAGCTGTAGTGCAATGTGGCTCAGACACTGCGTCTACATTTTCATTCTTTAGTCGGATAGAGTCAGTATTATCTCTGGGTGAAAATACCTTCCAGAACTTCTGGGGGTTACTTTGCAGAATTCTTGGCAGCCCAAAGAAAATAACTTTTTTTTCGTCAACCTTACGCTCTGTACAAGATTTGAGACATGAAAAATATTTGTCCCAGACTTTGTTATTATTTACTTTTTTAGCTCTTTTATACATGTGCTTCTTTTTGTTATTTATAATGATTGTAAAGTTTTATATTGTACCAGGGGTTATGCCCATCGCTGTGTACAATAACATTCGGAACAAATTGCTCAGTTAAAATATTAAGTTTGTTTTTAAATAGCGACGAGTTTTTTTCCACCGATCTTGAACGACGGTTTTCGACATACGACTGATAGAACGATGACACGTTCTGATTT